ATTGAAGATCTCAACCGGAGGGATTCACAAATATTTTCAAATACCTCCAAAAAGTTCCACCCAAAATCCCAGAAATATCCAAAATCAATCCCAAAATTCAGATATTTAAAAACTGAAATCTATCCATCAACGCTTAAAGCAAAATCCATCCACCCTCCGCAACAGTTTGCTGAGGTGGATAAATTCAAATATAACTTCAGCTCACAAAGAGCAAAATGCCTAGTCGATAATATCACTATGATCCATTCTCAAAATAATCTCCTGCCATTAAGGACGTGGTATGTGTCCTCTAACTGGCGGTTTGACGCCAAATGGCACCGCAGGATAAACGGTTATGACCCAAGGCCCTCTGAACCGAGTGGTTTTGCCGCCAAATGGCACCACGAAATAACGGTTATGGCCAGAGCCAATACGTTCCTTATTGGCATCATATGAATCAATAGGATATGATCGATATGACACGAAGCCCTCTGTCAGCTAAGATGGATTCAAATTTGTCCCCTTAGACAAACATTCACCCCCAGTCTACAAGGTCCCCTTGGACGAAGCAACCCATGGCTACCGACAAGTATCTTTCTGTCAGGTTGGGTCGACTACCTCCTCTGACTAAGTAGACCAGGGACCACGATGGCCGGGGACGACGGAACCATGGGATCTTGATTGGGTCCATCATCCATTCCCCCACCATCCGCTTTAAGTGAAAGATGGTGAAATTTCTATTTTAAATATCAAATTCTCCAATCATTTCAAATGTCCATTGCTGCTAGTATATGCCAGATAACACGTATTTTATACGTATCTGATTGACGACTAGCCTTAATCGAAAGTTTTCTCTCGTGATTGGGAGGGGTAATTAACTATAGGGGCTTGCGCTTATAGGAAACGAGAACTCAGATCATAAAGTCCTCACAAAATGAGGGCTAAATCTCTGGGTAGTGTCTTATCTACAAACCCATTTTCCTTCTAAAATTTACTCCGGAACTTATTCCGTAACTCCCCTGGACGAAGAAAAAGGAAAGCGCGGGGCTGAATTTTCGGAGCCCACAGGTGTCTAGGTTCAATGAATGTGAATCAAGCATTAATTGGGATTGAGAATTAAATATGTAATTAATTTTAGATTTGGAGGGATTGGAGGAGCTTCCTAAAATGGATTTATTAATCCAAAAAGGTTAATAAAATTCAAATCTATTTGAATTCTATTTAAGAAGCTTTCCAAATTAACAATTGACTAATTTAGGAAAGTAATTGAATTTGAAATTCAAACTTGTGGATGAGGAGGGACCGGCGGCTTCAAGGAGGGGAGGGGTTTAAGAGAGGGAAATTAATGCTTGCTTGAATTAGAATTTTAAATTAGAAATGATTGCTTTAATTCCAACTCTATTCAAGATTCAAATTGGCATGAATTTAGGAACTTTCATAAAATATAGATTCTCATTTTAGGAAAAAAATTTAAAATTCAAATTTATTTGAATATTAAATTAATTTTTCACGAAATAAGAAGGGCTCGAATTGGAAGGTTTTGAATGCAAGATTTGAATGGGTAGAGCCAAGGGAAGGAGGAGGTGTGGGGGGGAAGGGGAGGGTTGTGGGGAAGGGGACCGACGCTTAATGGAGGGGATGGGGTTACCAGCTAGGAGGTAGTGGTGGAGTGGACGATGGGTGGAGGAGGGGAAGAGGGAAGCTTGGTCTGCGGCTATGGAGGGGGTATGGCCGGCGGTTAAGGGAGAAGGACAAAAGGATTTCAGGGAAAGAAAGATAAAATCGTGCGCCTGGACGCTTCCTGCGGCTGACGGGTGATACGTTGTCCTTCACCAAGGGAGTTCAAGCCATGAGCCCGGACCCATCATGCAGCTGGTGGCTACCATGATTCTCTCCCATGGGGATCTCACTAAAATCCTCTCCAAAGAACAAGAGTGCAAAACAATTTTTTTATTAAAACTCCATCATACCAATACAAGAGCAAGAGCCTATATATAGGCCTTAAAAAAACTAAAAGACAACTTTTTCCCTTGTGCTTACATAAGACAAGACCCTTAAGTAAGGGTAAAAAAAAAGCATAATTAAATCAAAAATACAATTAATAAACTAAGATAAAAATGGAGGAATTTTGGCCGTCGATCTTCGTCTATTCCTTTGATTAACATCCACCGTTAGATGTCTGCATCACCCTAAGAGAGAATTTACGTGTAAAATGTTATTTTTCTCAATATAGATGTTCACTAGTTATCGAGAATGTCCTTTGCAAGTTTAAAGTTTCCCCAAGTGTTTGATATAGTTATGTTGAAAGTTAGGGCACAATAGGTACTCATTTTAAATTCGTTCAAATCTTGAAATTTTAGTTCTAAAGATGAAATTATTAATCTTTCTTTTGATAAGGCTTTAGTAGGTTTTTTTTTTTAACACCAAATTTATGTTTGATGACATTAGGGTTATCGTAGAGAAACTCAACCAATGTAGCATATCTATGACTTAATTTTCATTTTGTATTGATAAGCTTAAAGGATATGATGATCTAAATTGATAATTAATTCCCTAGCTAGTATCTCAAAAATTGGATGACAGTATAAAATTCCTCATCATATGAGGAATATTAATGCTTTGCTTCATTTATTATTTCACTAAAAATGTTATATTGTTTTTGACATAATATTCCTTTAATTCTATTTCAAGATGCATGACAAGTTACCTCAAAGACTTTAGAGAAATCATAATTTGGATTGGGGTAGAAGATATCAAAACCGTAATTTGATCTAATAAGGCTTTTTCTGTGCCTAGAGTTCAACATAATTTATCAAATTTTAATAGGGTAATTATTGGAGTTGCAATTGCACTAATGTTTTCTGTCTTTTTGATGAATCACCTATATAAAGTGGCTAAGCCATAGAAACTTCTAATGTTAGTGAAACTCTTTGGTGTTGGCTAGCATGAACGCTTTAATATTGACATGATTAGGTTTCATTCTAATAGTGGAAAGGTCAAATATGAAAAAATTACAAAAGTTTATAAATAAAGATTTCTTTGTCAAATTGATGTATAAATTTTCGTTCCTTAAGAGTCTCAAAACATGCCCAAGATTTTACAAGGGGTTGTTCACTTGAGCTAAAAATCAAGATGTAATCAGAGTAGACTTCCAAAATTGTCTATAACAGGCTCAAGGATTTTATTCATTGACCTAATGAATGTGCTGAAGGCATTAGCGAGTTAGAAGGGTACGGGCAACCATTTATAAAGCCCGTCGAGTTTTTTTTTTTTTAAATTTCATTCATCCTTTGATCAAATTTGAATTTGGTGATGACAAACTTTTCATATTTAACTTTAGAAAATAATTTGCCCATATGATCAAATCTAACATGTTGTCTAATTGATAAATAGGAAATCTATATTTAACAATAACTTTTTTATAACTCGACTATCAGCACACATTTGTCATATTCTATTTTTCTTGGGAGTTATTACGGTTGGGATAGCACAAGGTTTAAGACTTTCCTGTACAAAACATTCTTAAATAATTCCTCAACTTTTCTCTTTTAGTGTGTTTACTAGGATTTATTCTATAATGTGGAAGGTTGGGAAGTTGTTAACTTGGAAGTCTATAGCATGTTGAATTGTTCTATGAGGAGGTAGTTTATTAGACATGTGAAAATCAAAATGTCATCAAAGTATATAGCTAATTTTTTTTTATAAAGCGTTTAAGGGCAATAATCATTTCCTAATGAATATGCTAGGGGCATTGGAGTATCCAAATGATATGACTAGCCATTTATAAAGCTTGTAGGATGTCAAAAGTTATTTTTTTATTTATATACCAATTGGATCTACTGATAACTACTTTTCAGCTCGATCTTAGATGCAAAATTTGTCATGAGATCAAATCTAACTTTTCGTATAATTGAGGAATAGAAAATCTATATTGTTTAGTAATTTTATTTATAGCCTTACTGTCAACACACATTTGTCTTGTTCTTTTTGTCATAAGAGTTAGTAAGGTAGGGATAGTGTATGGATTAAGAATTTCTTGTACAAAACTTTTCTTAGGTTAATCCACAATATGTCTATTGATTTCAATATGTTCAATGGGATTCATTTTATAATAAAGATGGTTGGGAAGATGATAACATAAAGTAAATCAGTAGCATGTTGAATGATTCTAATAAGGGAAAATTCATCAAGATGTTTTTTAAGGCAATATCACTAAACTTAGAAATGAGTGGGAAGATCGAAATAGGTATATGAGTCTCATCAAAATCCAGAGTTTTTTTCCTTTATATGAAATAACTAAAAAGGACTTTGATAAAAAATTTCTTTTGCAAAGTTTCAAACCCTACACTTTTCAAGTTGCCAGAGTAGTAGTGCTATGATTATAATGAAAATTGATAATATTATTTCTAGCAATAGATTTTCCTATTACAGTTAATTGAAGCTTAACAACATTTTTTTGGAGTGAGTTTGGGTTGTAAATCAAAGTTTGTTTTATGATGTGTGATGATGGGTGTTTTTGTGATAATTTTGACCAGTAGAAGTTTAATGGTTTTGTTATTATGTTTAAAAATATAAGTATTTTTTCTACTATAATAATATAAAATATTATTACTCATGGTGTGCAAGAAAGGTCTTTCTAGCACCACGTTTGATTTTTATTGCTACTAATTTGTTAGAAATAGGCATCTACTGGTGATGGGGAGATATATGGCTGACTCAACTAATATGAAAAGGTTATGATTGTAATTCAATTTTAAGTCTGGCTTTAAAAATTGTGTGGGATTAGATGACATTGATTGCAGTTGCTTTAGAAATCTAATAGTTATTACAGGTAAATAAATTATTTTGTATATTTGAAGCATATAATAGAAACCACGTGGAATCTTGCTTGCTTTCTACAATGAACAATTAATCCATTTCAGGTCTTTCTTTTGATTATGGAATGACGAGTACTTTGATTGCAATGTATTCCATTTTTTGATTGATGTAGTTATTCTTGTGTTTTGGTTATTATGCTTCAGTGGGAAGCAATCCCGTGGCTTGCGTAACTCACATTCAGTTATTCTAGAGGTACATTTTCCAATTATTTACATAATTTATTTTATCGTTTGTTAATTAATATCAGAATTACAAGTAAAGAATCCAAAACTTAAGAATACTACTTTAGCATTTGTATCATTAGACTTCTGACGAAACACTAAAGTTTAAATTGGAATTTTTCTTTTAATCCCTCTATAACAATTTGTTTACTTGCATTTATAATATTTTGTTCTTTAATGATTGGCTGGTTGAATTAATGATTCTTTTGCTGTATGAGAATTATCTATCTTTTCATTATAGTAAGTCATAGCTGTGTTTCATCTTTCTTTTTTCTTTTCCATCCTTATGCACAGAACTAAAAATTCAGAATATTCATGTAGCTTGATATTATCGAAGTTACCTTCATCTTTTGTTTGTATTCTGAAGAAAAATGACCTGTTCGTGGCTGTAGACACAGACATTTTATTCATATGATGCGACAAAATTTTTTATTGAACCTACCAAATCATTCTATTGAACTCTCACGATTAAGTTGTAACATTTGTTTAGGTCACGAATGTCAAGGATAATTTGATGTCTGTACATTGACTGTTAGCTCATATGGTGAAAAGATTGTGTAAATTATCAATGACATGGTTACAGTCATCATGTGCCTACCATATTGCTATACTTTTCAGGGCGACCATCTATAAATTTTAACTAGTCACCTTTCTCTCATTCTGTTTCAGTTAGAAATCATCCTTTGCAATGTTGTTACCCATTTATAGTTTAACTCCTGTTTTGCACGTATAATTATATCATTATTCCTGGATGAATTCATGAGCACTTTTTTTTGTTCCATATTATGTTATTAAGATCACTTAACTGCCAATTCTTTCTTCGAATCTGAGAAATTATTCATGCTATTTTACTTAAATCGTTTTCTATTGGTTAGCTTCTATAATTTTGAAAGCATTTATGCCTTCCCGTGCCAAAATATTAATTATGGCATTATATAAATGATGTTCCAAGCGATCTTGCTCAGTTACTTTGAAAAAATGCATTTTAAGTTCCTGAAATGCTTCATCATGCTTCTTATGTGATTCGGCAACACCATGATAGAGATGTGAGGAAAAAAAAAGAGATAAATATATATATATATATACCCAGTAAAAAAAGTCATATAACTATACTCCTTTCATATATCTTAAAGCGACTTTCTTCTTCTAAATCCGAAACATTCTGTTACTTTCCCAGTGAAGTCTATACAAAACATAAGAATATGACAATTAAAAAGCTTACAACAGAAAAACTAAATTTTAAATATACCTACTAACTTTTGCTGTGAAACTATGCTGTAATCATTTTATCTCAGTCCAACTCAATATTTTTAAAATCATAATTTGGAGAATAATCAAAAGGAATGAACAAGGAATAACTCAATAGGAATTATCTTGCCTCCAATAACTGATGCAAATGATAGTCTTATAAATGCACTTCTTATAGTCTATCTTCTTTGCCAACACACATGAAAAAAAAAAAAATTGTTTCCTATTCACATGCCTGAATATCATCTATGACAATTTTCAATGATAATTACATGCACCTATTAAATGAATCATCCCTCCCATAAAATCTAAGATGCCTAATTTTAATTCTACATCACTTGGTATCTTATTCACATGAGTAATGTGACATAATCAATTACCAAGTTAGGAGATCAATCAAACAATGACATGCTAGCAAGCTCAAGTAACCATGATACCATAGTAAGTTAATGAACTCACATTAAATATCTTCCCTCTTCACACATCCTCACTGGAGTAGCGCTTCCTCCTACCATTGTGAAAATGCATTCCACCAAAATGCTATAGGGAATTGCACCATCATGTCGGATTGCTTGTTATCTACATAGGGAGTAACAGTCAGGCTTGAATACCATTGATGATAATTTTCAATGATTAAAACAGTTACCATTAAATAAATCATCAATCAATTGGTTGTGTTATTTTTGTCTGAGAAATAAATCAATCAGTCAACGACATGCTTGTAAACCTAGGTAACTATGAAGCTGTAACAGGTTAATGACCACACATTCAATCTAGTCTCCCTTAATGAGCTAACGTGAGTCTCATCTACATTTTCAGTTCATCACTTGTACTTCCACCCACCACAGTTGGACCAAAACGCTATATGCAACTGTGCATGGATGATGGCTTGTTATTTACATAGAGAAGCACCTTCTTCTTTTACCAGCCTAAACAAATTGAGTAATAGTTTAGGGTTAAACATCCCTATAACTCAATAACCATCACATGAATGAAGTCAACTTGCCATTAAGAAATTTACAATGGGAGATTTAATTTCACTACGAGTTTATGAACTCCCAACTTGTAGGATTTCATCCCTCAAGCCGTTTCCACTCACTAGTGGAGAGGGACTTCTATCCACCAAATAAAAGAAGATCCCATGACTTAATGCCTCTTTTGGAGACTGACCATAAATAAACCAACACTTCCTATGTACAAACAGGTGTACCATGCATAGCATACGGTTAATATTTTAGTATTATCTTTATTATGCATGCAACAAGTATGGGCATGCTATGCTTGTAGGGTCTTGTGCAAAGAGTAATCATCAGGTGCTGAATGAGTTTTAAGAATTAAGATCCTAGATCCATATAAAACATAATCCTATAAAAATTGTAGCTATGATAATTACTTTCAACGGTAGTCACTGCCAAATGTCATACTTGTCATAAGAAATCCCAAATCAATTTAATCATCAAAATCTAAGAAATATATGTGAAATTTTAGATATTCAATTCTATCTTTAACGCACAAAACATTCACTAAGTATATGGCTGTAAATTAGAGATCATTTAAAGGATAAGTCATTGGAAGAGAACAAATCTTCAACAAAATAATCCTACCTCAAAGTATGCATAGTTCTCTCTTAAATTAGAATCTTCTCATGAACGTTAGACTCATCTATCTTTCCCTTTCTAGGCGGCCAAGACAATTGATCTAAGATTAGGTTGGCCTTGTAACCAGGCCCATTTATAGATGAATGCTTCCATAAATTAGTTTGAATAATTTTCACTATAAAATGTCAAAATCAATATATACTTCTCATAACGACATATCAGGTTACAACATATTCTCAGGTATGGCTTTATTATCTGTCGTCATAATTTATAAATCTTTTTCAACCACCCTTCTTTGTTTATTCTGATTGATTAAAAACAATGCATCGAGATAGATATGTGTTTTTCAGGTGGAAACGGCAGAATCCTACTTTCCTACAATAAAGAAAGCTGGAATCTTGATTAGTATGAAGGTCGGTTTGTATAATATTTTACTCTTTTTCTTTTGGTAGTTATTACTTACTAGTTCATAATAACTTGCTACTTGTTTGATAAATCGAACGTTTATTTCTTATTGTTTATCGCATCATTCAATGGTCATATAATCACTGTATGCTTTCTTTCTATATAACACACATTTTGAACAGTGCTGAACATCTCATGAATGTTGATATTCTAGGTATTGTGTAGTTAGTTCATCATTCAGAAATCACTAGGAGTTATTACTGTCTTATATCTGAGAAGATCGTCTTGTAGTATCTTTATCCTGCACGCCGCTAATAATACCTTCTCAACCATAGGAGCGTAGGGACAGCATTTTACATGATTCTAACTTATTGGCTTCTAGTGTTGGAGGTAAACTTGCTATACAGGATAACTTGGTGGAAGAGGTAACTATTATATATTTGCAAAAAAATTTTATCTTATTTTGAAATTTACTAAAAATTTTTAACCTTTGATTTATAGGTCATTAATCTTGTTGAGGCACCAAATCCAATACTTGGAAGCTATGATGAATCCTTCCTTGAGCTTCCTAAAGATATATTAATAACGGTATGATCATTCTGATCTTTTTTTAAAGAAAATAGTATTGAACTCTTTATGCAAGATCCAATTTTTCTATGCATTGTGATTTAGGTCTTGTTTGGTTGGGTTGTTGTTGATGTTAAATGGAGTTTTAGAACAGATGTTGAGAAAAAGGAATTTTAAAAAATATTGTTCAAATAAATTGGTGGTTGTTTGGTTAGATTGCTTTTGACATGCTTAAGAAAACCTAGAAACATATATAAATTGTTTGGTTATGTTATCTGCTTTAGCATTTTAGCCATAAAAGTATAAATATATCCTTATATTAAAATTAGTTATATGTTATTTATTATTGAAAATTCTTAAAGACATTAAGAAATATGTAGTCGGCTAAGATTGGCTTGGGTCGGGAAATAGTCGGCTAAACCGATCGACACTAGGTGTGGTTGTGTAGGAGTCGACTAAGATTCATCCTTGGCGAGCAAAACAGAGAAGAATTGGGAGTCTTCCAAGTGAAGAAGGCTGGCGGCTGGGAAGCAAATCGAAGCCAAATGGAGGGAGTTGCAAAATTGTTAAGGTTATTTATCTGGACGAGCTGTTGGAAAAGACGAAGCTCGCAATTGTGTTTGGTCGATGTGCACACGTGCTGGGTAATTTCGACTATTTGCTTTCGGAATTAAGGTTTGTGATGGAATAATGAGATGCAAAATAACTTTCATAACGGGTAAAAAATGAAGTTTTATGAAAAGAAACTATAGGCAAGCCTTGCTTTCAAACAGTTTAAAATAACCTATTTTGGCTTATTGAACTTGAAAACGGAGAAAATAAGATGAACCAAACGAGGCCTTAGTGTTGCTTTTACTCTATAGAACAGTATTGGATTGATAAACTTTGATATTAATTTGAAAAAAAATAGATTTGAGTTAGTCCATTTTTATGCTGGCAGTTATGTCATCAAACCCTGAGATTGTGAAAATAAAATTATGTGACTTCAGAGGAAATTTAGTGTTACTTCCCAATATTGTATATATAACCTTATTATGGGAGCTTAATCTAATTGCTTGATAAGCATAAAATAGGAAAGTTAAATTACTTCACTAGCAAGTCTCTGCAGTGCATCTTTGGTATAAAATCACCCAATCATGAACCAACTACTCAAAATGTATGATTATCATTTTTAAAGTTATTAAAAAAATGAGCATACTAGAGCTTAATACAAATTCCCCTCTTCAACCATTGTGGTCAATGACAAGCTAGTAAATATGCTTTTTATATTCTTAAATGCAAAATAAATTCTCGAACTGTCCAAGTATTTATTTTATTTGACATTGCATCTAATAATTTAGCATTCAAAACGATGCCATACTTGTAACATGCCTTTTTTTAACAAATCATAGATCACCTCTTTTTAGCAAATCATTGTTCTACTAAGACTACTTGCACATAATCATGAGTTTCCTTCAAAAGCCTCATAATCAATTAATGCCATTCAACAAGAATAATTGCAATCACTCACAATCATGCTTTCAGGTTACCAAGCTATGTTATCAACTATTCAAGGACAAGCTGCCCACCCTAATTACTACTTTACTATGAATGTGTAAATATACCCCATCTTGAACGCATTCCCATTTAACACTATCGTTGTCATGTCTAAAGTCTTGGATGAGAAAAATAGAGGGTTGTATTAGGTAGTTGATAACTAGCGTAGAAATTATTGAATAATCATGACATGAATCTTTTAATGCCTCGTGTTAATACTAGGGCGTTCCCTGGAAGTGACGCGCTAGATGACTTGAATACAACGTAAGCGTGTAAGGGATGTTGACCGGTGTCTGAGTATAGTGTTAAATAAGGGTGCCCATATTGCAGATGAATGTGAGTAAATAATGTTGATTAAAAAAAAAGAAGAGTAAAATAAAATCAAAACAGATATGGAACAACGAACCCTTTTTCGTCGGCCCCACTTCGCGTGATCTCCTCATACGGGTAAATTATTGCATCCGGTCACCTGACAGAGAGATCCGTTCACGGATCACGGATCTCTCTGTCAGGTGACCGGATGCAATAATTTGCCCCCACACGACGGCAAATTATTGGGTCAGGTGACCGGACGCGGAGATAGGTCCAGATATTAATAAAATATTATTTTAAATCAAGCGCAAGTAAAGCGCAGGTAAAGCGCAACTACAGCGCAAGTAAAGCGCAAGTAAAGCGCAAAGTCAAAAACGCATAATTTTATTGAATGTCCGAACTTATTTTTAGCCTCTTGTCATCTCACCCAAGAATTTGCCCCACACGACACATCTCTTCGCACAATAATCGTTACTTCATGATAAAAAGGAGAAAGAAACGAAGAAATGAGGACTCACGCTCGGACTCCTTCGAGATTGCTGTTCGACTTCGTTGTTTTCGTAAGAGCGTCTAGGGTTCGCCTTTGATCCTCTCTTTCCGTCGTCGCTGTTCGGCTACATTACTTCGCAGGAGGATAGGGATTGCTCGAGTCGCTTCGGCGGTTCCTTCGATGCCATCCGACTTCGTTCCTTCGCAGGGGGTGCTGAGATCGCACGGGTCGCTTCTTCGACTCCTTAGTTGCTGTTCGGCTTCGGTTCCTTCGCAGGAGGGCAAAGATTGCACACATCGATCCTTCGACTACATTGTTGCTGTCCGACTCCTTCGTGGCTATCCGACTTTTTGCGTCACAGGAGTAGAGATTTCACACGTCGCTTCTCGGGCTTCGTTGCTTTGGAAGAGATATAGATTGCACGTGTAGCTTCTTCGGCTCCTATCCTTGCTGTTTGACTTGGATTTGTAAGAGGAACAGAGATTTGCACGAGTTGTTTCTCCATTCGCCCGTGCGTCACCGAGCTCTCTTCCATTCCCGCCTCTTCAATCCCTCTATTATATTATAAATAATATATAATATAATATTATATATTATATTATAATATATGTAATGATATAATATTATATATATAATAAAAAAGAGATTAAAAAAAAAGGGGAAAGACTTTCAAACAAATGTCGAAGACCCACGCCATTGATCTTAGATCTGGGCGGATGGTTTTAAAATTCGAAGACTTGCGCCGTTGATTTTTAATCCGGGCAGATGGTTTTAAATTTGAATACCTCGGGCCGTCATATCTTAGATCCGGTCGGGATGGTTCCAAATTGAAGACTTCATGCAGTCGATCTTAGATCCTGGTGGGATGCTTTAAATTTGAAGGCCCTACGTAGTTGACCTTAGGTTCGGGTAGGAAGAAATTACGGCAATGCCGTCCCGAATTCTCCCTCGGTGGGGAGGTGACGCCGGGAGGTTGTCGAAATTTCAAGAAAATTATAGAACCTTTAGAACAATTTTAGAGCAATTGAATTTAAGTTTTTAATTAATCAATAAAAAAATTGATTAAAATTATTAATAAAAAATTGATTGATTAGTTAATTAGGTAGAATTCAGGAGCTGTTTAAAATACGAGCAAATTAAATCTGAGAGCATTTGAAAATCCAAAATGTTTTAGAAATATGTGAACATTTTAAATGAAAATTCTGGATCCGGGGATTTTAAAATATGAGATCAAATTTTACAAAAAATTTTAGAATGGTTTGTATTCAAGAGGTGTTAGTTAAAATTTGAGAATACTAAAATTAATGGTTAATTAGAGCAATTATAAAACAAATGCAATAAAAGAAGGGGGGAGGAAAGTTTCCACTAAATGACATATTCAACATTGATTGTCAACTCTAAAAAACTCTCAAACTCTCTAAAACTCTCAAACTGAACTCTACAACTGCTCTCCTAAGTATCTCCTGTGTGAGCTCCTACAGGTACCTGTGAGCTCTATCCTCTGCAACTGTAAGCCCTGGGTACTTTAACCACTGGCTACAAACATCTACAAACAAATAAATGAAAAGTCAGTATATCATAAATAAATTGAATGGATGCTAATAAATCTAAATTATTGTAGGTAGAACAGAGTATTAGAAAGCAATAAAAGCTAAATACAAAAAAAAAAAAAACTAGTAGAGCAATATTGCTAGAAAACAAGTAAAGTAGTGAACTACTACTATAGTAGAAAAAAGAGTACGAACACAGAATAACTAATACACTAACACTGTCAAAATCTCAAAGTGTCAAAACTCTGAAGTATCAAAATCACAAACTCAACCAACTTAAACAAATTTAGAACAAATCTTCAAACAATCAAATTTAAATTCTTGGGCAGCTTGATTTATAAGAATTAGGTTGTAAGACACACTACCCGGCAACTTTCCTAGGAAAGTCGTAAATCCTCTCTGAGAGAAGTGTTTTGGTGATGACAAAAACCTAGACCCCTCACCCGGGCATCCTAGTCTAAAAGGACTAGGTTGTAAGACCCATAACTCGGGCCATTTAGCTTAAAGTGCTATGTCGTAAGACCCATCATTAGGCAACTTCTAAGGAAGTATTAAGACCTAATCCAAATCCAATTCAAACCAAATTTAAACCTATAGGCATCCTAGCCTATAGGGTTAGGTTGTAAGACCCACCAAAGGGCCACTTCTAAGTGAAGTCGTAAGTCCCATGTATTAGGGATACTTTTAAAACAAAGTATAACAATCCTAACGCTCCGACAAATAACCAACGGGCAACTTCTCAGTGAAGTTGTAAGACCCATGTTTTAAGAAAGTTGTTAAATATATAACAATGATTCTAAGCCTCAAACAATCAAATTTTAACATATGAATATCTTAGTCTAAAAAGATTAAGTTGTAAGACTCACTTTTCAGGCTGCTTCCTAAGGGAAGCCATAAGTCTTATCCAAATAATTAAAATTCTCGGCCAGCCTTATTGTAGAGTTAGTTTGTAAGGTCCATCCTTAAGCCACTCATAAATAGAGCAATAAGTCACATTCCAAATTAAATCCCCGTGCTACTTTCTACAGAAGTAAGTCCCAAACCAAATCTAAATACCTGGGTTACTTCTTAAAGAAGTCATAAGACCCGCTCCAAACTAAATTCCTAGGTTACTTCTAAACAAAGTCATAAAT